GGTGATATAGACGACAGGAAAAGCACTGGAGGGATGGTATTTTATCTCAACGGGAATCTAATCACTTGGCAATCTCAGAAGCAGTGAACCGTTGCTCTATCATCCTGTGAGGCAGAGTTCATGACAGTCACTGCGGTATCATGCCAAGCATTGTGGCTGAGAAGTTTGTTGAGCGAGGTGACCGGAAACGAGCCAAAACCAGTAACTCTCTACGTCAACAACAAATCTGCAATAGCATTGATAAAGAACCCGGTGTTTCATGGACGCAACAAGCACATCGACACTCGCTTCCACTTTATTCGCAAGTGTGTCGAGAATCGACAGATCGTAGTGGAGTTCGTAAGCACCGGAGAGCAACGTGCAGATATTCTCACCACGGCTCCAACAAGAGTCAAATTTGTCAAATTTGCTAAAATGCGAGAGCTACTTGGCGTAAACAACTTCTAACCAAATCAAGCTTACGGGGAGATTGTGAGACTATCTTGAATTAGTAATTTGAATTGATTACACAATTAGTGGCTTCATAATAGGCATGAGTTGATTAGTGAAATAAATATAGGAGATATGACAATAGCATTAATTTTGAATTAAATATAGAAGATATGACAATAGCATTAATTTTGAATTTGAATCTTAAATTCAAATTCAAAATTCAAATATGTGTAATCAATTCAAATAGGCGCAAAATTGATGACACTTAATTCTCTTGTCTTTATTGTGTACGTTTCCTTTTTTGTTTCGGTATGCCTTAGTTAGTATAAATTGGGTGTTGTGTTGCATTGTAAAACACACTCTAGTCTTGTATCTTTTCACTCCTTCAAAATAATAAAAAGAGAATTCCCAAAAGTCCAATCTCATTTTTCTTTCGATTTGTCCTTTAGCGATCCATTAAATTGGAACCAGCAGATAAGCTGCTTAGCAAGTTGAATACAAACTTTTCTCGAACCATGCGGCTTTTTGAAAACCCTAATTCTCTCATTACTTACAGAGGCCAATTTAGCCCCAAAATAAATAAGAATGTCAAACTAGTTCCAAGATGTTTAATGGGGCTCAAAATAGTCCCCCCTTTAAAAGATTATGGAGACTGTTTTAACACATTAAAAGTGTAAAATAACCCCCTGCAAAGAGTAATGGGATCATTTTGACACATTTTCTTTCATTTTTTTCATGTAAAATGATAATGTATTCAGTTTTGAAGAGGAGAAAGTTAAGAAAATCTAACCTGTCGGTCAAACGGTGCTCCATCTGAGCTCAACGTGGATAACTCCATTCTTAGAGTTTATGAGATTAAATCCATTGTTGATGCGTCCATTATTCACGACATCTGCGAGGTTAAGATCAACATGGCCCAGAGATTCCTACAGTCTCAATGAAAAATATTCATGTTAAGAATAACAAAAGAGGATGTGAGAAACATGCCTATTCACATACACATTTACATACACACCACTTTAATTCTTATGTATTTACATATCGAATACCTAAACTTTACTTTTTACAATTATACCGCCCAAATCTTTCAAATCACATCAAAATACCATTATTTTGACTTTTGAAAAGTGAAATACACCTTTTTCATACATAGGTAAGGTGGCATATAAATGTAAAAATTGAGGTTTAAGTGCTAGATATGTAAATACATAGAAATTAAGTGATATGTATGCAAATCTTTATTTTTTTGTCAAGTTTTCCAACCTTAGCATGCCAGCTGAAACCTCTCCTCTTGCTTATAACTTCAATATGTATCATGTCGTTAACTGGTGGTTCATCTAACACGAACTGGAACCCTTCATTCCACCGTGGATCTCTACTTTTTTTTATTACCTAAAGTTAAAGCATACAAGACAAATTCTTGAGGCATTTACATAAATACCACTCAATTCTTATGTATGTACATATCTAATTCCTAAACTTTACGTTTTATGTCTATAACACTCAAATCTTTCAGATCACATAAGAAATACCACCCTTTTAATTTAAAAAAAGTGAGCTGCACCTTCTCATGCATGGGTAAGGTGGCATATATGTAAGAATTGAAGTTTAGGTTTTAAAAAAGTGAGCTGCACCTTCTCATGCATAGGTAAGGTGGCATGTATGTAAAAATTGAAGTTTAGGTGTTAGGTAGGTAAATACAATGGAATTGGGTGGTATGTTTGTAAATCTTGCTAACTTGTAAACAAAAAGACACATTATAACTAAGAGTAAGAAAAAACATCCAAAAATCTCAACAAGCCCAATTTTTTTTCCAATATTACAAACTTCACCTTGGTTTTTTTGCGCTCTCCTCTAAAAGAAACAGCTGCGTAGGGATTGTTGTGATGCTTTCCTTCAACATCTTCTGCACCTTCAACGGTTACAGAAAGAAGACCGCCACCGGATGAACCAAGGGAAGAAGAGCTTCCTGGGCTTTTGAGCTTTGCTTCGCCATCTAAAAATCCGCTTAATTTCTCAAATTCTTCTCGAAAAGGTTCGAATGTCAATTCCACCACAACTTTTCCTCTATTTCTTTTGTTATGTGAATCATTTGGGTTCATGTTCTTGAGAAGATCAAGAGTGAATTGCTTCATCTCATAAGGAGTAAGTGAATTAAGTGACACAACTTGCATGCCCAGTTTGTCATGGGCTTTGACCTACAAAATAGGACATAGCACTGTTAGTTATCAAGTGTCAAAATAGTTCCCTAACTATTCACATGGCTATATTTGTCCTAGAATCTATAAAAGTGTTAAATTAGTCCTCAAATTCTTTAAATTGGGGTTGAAATAGACATCCATTGGGATTATCTCAGCTCATATTGAAA